CCCGTGTCCCCTGTATCGGCAGGCGGACTCTCAACCACTGCGCCACCAGGGAAGTCCCTGAATAGTATTGTTTTATGTGGTTTTATAAATTTACACAATGTGATTATCCTTCTGCAACTGCTTTTTCTGCCCAGTATTATGCCTGAGACTTACCCATGTTGAAACATACAGCTGGAGTTTATTTATCTTAAGTACTGTACAGATTTCCACCATATGAATATACAGTAGTTTAGGCACCTATTCCCCTATTAATGGATATTGGGGTTGTTTTCAGTTTTTCACTATTACAAACAATACTTCAGAGTGAATAACCTTAATTTCCTTGTGCATAAGTGTGGGAGTTTCTCAAGATTATATAACCAGAAGTTAAACAGCTGAGTTGTCTGCCTCTTTTATAGCATAAGATTCAAAGAAGGACTCATGGCATTTATCCACTTTTAAATTCCCTTTTCACTTAAAAATGTTCACTTAAAAATATGACAATAAAATAATAATTGCTAATATCTCTTACCTATTAAAATACATATTAGGAACATGTTAAGAAACTTTACTTAGGTATTTATTGTATTTACTGAATGTCTACCATGGGCCAAGTACTTTGTTCAGTGCTGTGGATGAACACGACCAAGAATGAAACAGTATAGTTCCTGAACTTAACTAGCAGAAAAGGCAGACCAAGGACACATAAAGAGGCAGATAATAATAAAGTATGACTCAGTGTGGGCATGCTAAGGGAGGCGCAGGACACTGTGACACACTTTACGTGGTAAAAGAGGATAAGGGAAGGGAGCTCTGGGAGCCTGAGAATGAAGAAGCAGCACCTGTGAGGAGGGGATAAAAGCCAGGGCGGGGGTCGGAGGAAAGAATATACACAAAGGCCAAAAGTCAGGAGCGTGGCGTTAAGGGAACTTGAAGGAATTCAGTCTGGCTGGAGAAAAAGTGAGGTTCAACATGGAAGGACAAGGAAGTTAATGAGGAAAAGGAACTGGCCACTGAAGTGAGGCGGGTCTGATTTGCGTTTTAGAAGGCTCACTGGTGGCGGTGAAGGGCTCAGTTAGGGGAGCGAGGCTGGATATGAGGCACCCGGGTAGGATGCTGCTGCAGTATTGCAGGTGATGAGTGGGGACAACAGGGGTCAGGGGAGTGAATTACCACTGAAGGTCTCTGTCACAGAGAAGACCACATCTTCAAGACCTTTGAGACTGGGTACCTAAGAGAACAGTAATCTCATTACTACACAAAGGAAGCAGACGGAGGGAAGGCAGAGGTTGGCTGGAAAGTGTTGCCAAGACAGTACATCAAGCCCCTTTTAAAACCTGTCAACAAGATCCAAATCCCTAGTCTGGCAGTCAAGGACCACGCAAGGATACACAGACTGCCATATCCATCTGCGTATCCCAGCGCTCTAACACTCTTCCCAGCACACAGCAGACATTTAATATGTTTGCTGGAAGGAAATTCTAACATTGAAACTCAGAAAAATTTCCCCAAAGACAAGATCTTAATCTGTATTTTTTTTCCAGTGAACAATTTGCCCTTTGGGGAATACCTATGACATACATTTTATTCATTCCCAATTCAGCCTGATAACAGAAGTAAGCTGCTCACGGATAGAATTTGGGCATATGATATCTTGGCTTCATGCACAGAAGTATATACACTAGCTCAAGAAATGTTTATACATATGTATTCAGACCACATCTTTTCATTCCCTCTTTTGCCCTTTCCTCTGCCCTTAGGTTGGCTATAGGCCTTCAGTATTACAGTCAATGTGAAAGTCTAGTGACATAAAGGAGAGCCATATTACATAAGTCAAGGTAATTTAACATGGGAGAAGGACTCAGCTATGTCATAATCCCATGTTTCCATGACGTACACTGGAATAAGCAAATGGACTCTTTATTTAGCAAAGCATTACTGCCTACTGAAAAAGAATTCTATTTTAGAATCACAAATATATGAGGTATAAAAGTTCCTTCCTGGACAATTACATGGCTTTGTAAAGGTTATCAATAACCTGCAATGTTGTATTTTAGCCCAGACATTTGTGGCCAAGTACAAGAGAAGAATTTAACCTACTGAACAATTATACACCTCAGACAACCGGAATAAACCTTGAGTCATCAAAATGCTCAAGTATTACAAAACTATCTTTTAAGAAGTAAATACTGCCTAATACTTCCTTACTATGCGTGAAGCATAGTACCATGCCCTGAGCTTGGGGTCTTCAGTGACTGCTGACGGTCAGTTGTCACCAGGAACTCACTTTACAACTATCTGCCTTCCAATTAGGAGTGTTTCTGCTTCTCCTACTGCACACTTTGTATGTGGTTAATATATACGCAGCTTCAGCACATTTAACATTCAGGTTTCTTGTTTTTCTTCCTCTTAAAATACATAAACCAACCAGAGCTTCACTCATCATATTAAGAAATTCAAAAATTACACAATTTCCCGGCTTCTCCAACAAAGCAATGCCTTGGAGATAAAAGGGCGGGGAGGAGGGGGGGAAAGGAGGAGGGACTGGCATGAAAGAAGCCTTAAAAGACCTAACTAAAAACATGAAGCCCTCATTTAAATTCTGACTGGCACCAACCAACTAGAAGAAGACATCTTTGAGGCAAACTGTGACATCTGGGTATGGAGTATGACACGGTATCGAGGAATTACTTATTTTTTTAAGATAATAATGGCAAGAAAGATATTTTAAAAATTCCTACCAGTTAGAGATGCATACTGAAGCATTTAAAGGTAAAATGATGTGAGTCTAGGTTTTAAGTTAAAATACTGCAGTTAAAAAAAATGATAATGGGAAAAAGAAATGAACAAAATGACAAAATACTGACAATTACTGAAGCTGGTTAACGCATACTAAGTGTTTAGTATGCCACTCTCTCTCCTTTTTAAAAAATTTTTTTACAATTGAAAATTCCCCTATTGTTTTCCAATTATATGTTTTGAGTACAGTTCTGTTTCGTTTTGTTTTGCCTGGAAGGAAAGAATCAACAAGTCCGAGGATATTTTAACATAATGCTGACAGTGGTTCTTGACTCAAGTTTTCCACAATCTCCGTAAGCGCGAGCACATTATGCAATTAATATATATCACTCACCTTTTCCTTTGTTCTCAACTCATCAAACATTTGTTGAATTTCCAGCTTCCAGTCATCTTGCATGGAATGAAAAGATTCTTGAGGCATTTCAGTCATAACTGCCTTTTCAATTGCAGTCAATTGTTCAAGAATTAAGGCAAATGATGGACGAATATGAGGGTCCTGTTGCCAGCATTCTAAAATAAACAAGAATCACAGTAAGTCCATTTCTCAGCATAGTTCAGATTATCAGCCCATGTTGACTGTGTCTGTTGAAGATTTTAAACATCAATTGATAATGATTTTGCAAATTTTATTTTATACAGTGTCTGTGTCAGCAGGCTGTGTAATAATTACTATTAGACGAGGCTCTTGTATTCTGCATTATTTGACATTATGTGGATGTGTGTCTTCTCTGCCTTACCATGTACCATGAACTCTGTCCACCTAAGCTGCCCTGGCCACATGACTTACAGATACAGAATTCTATAACTCAACCCAAGAAAACCAAAGTCTCTAAAATGTTACAGTCACAATAGAGGTTCTAAGAAATAGTCTAATAAGTAAGGTAACTTGCTGCTTACAAAAAGAGTTACTTAACAATTTTTAAAAGATAAGATCAAAATAGATAAGGTCATGGCAAAACCATGCCCGTTAAGACTCTAAAACATTTCTGATCATTAGGTAGAATTAAAAATAGCACATATGGAGCCAATTCAATATTGTCTTTTTTTTTTTTTTTTTTTTTTTTTGCTGTACGTGGGCCTCTCACTGCTGTGGCCTCTCCTGTTGCGGAGCACAGGCTCCGGACGC